GAATATTATAATTTACTTCCTCTTTTATCTCAACATCACTCTAAATAATTGATCACAAATATAAAAAATGAGTTCTTTTTTGTACTATCTCATCATCCAACTTAATTAAATTAGCACTCGCTATTTTATGACTACTAAACTTACATTCCATATATTTAATTTTAGATCTGCTCAATTTAATGTCTCGAAACTTTAGCGTATGCCTCTATAATTTTAATTTCGTATTAAGATTATCATTAATTTTAGCAACTAAAGCTATATTATTGGCAAATAACATACACTATGACACATTATCTTGGATATGTCTAGTGAACTCATTTATAACTAATACAAAAAGAAATGGACTTAGTATTGAGCCTTGATGGAGGTAATGGAAAAGCCATTAGTCAAGTCCTTAAACATCCTTATATTCATTATTACTCCTTCATATATATTTTTAAGTATGTTAATATATTTTAAAGGAATTCATTTTTTTAATAAAGCCCACCAAAACATTTTTCGAAGAACTTTATTATATGCTTTTTTCCAAGTCGATAAATACAATATGTAAGTTTTTTTTTCTAACTTAAAAACCCTCTAACAAAAGCCTTAGTAAGTGAAATACCTCTATTATGAAGCATCTTAGCATAAACCTAAATTGGTTTTTAAAAATAATAACCTTTTATCACAACCTATATTCTATTACTCTTTCTCAAAGTTTTTTAGTATGACTCATAAGTTTTATTTCTTGATAATTCGAATAATTTTGTGTTTCACATTTATTCTTGTATAAAAACACTAAGGTACTTTTCCTCTTTTCTTCTAACATCCTTTGAATACACTAAATTTTATTGAAAAAATCTATCAACCATCCTATCCTTACTTTAGCCAAGCATTTTCAAACCTTAATCGGGATTCCATCTTGTCTTACAGCTGTCTTTGCTTTCATCATTCTCAAAGCCTATTTAATCTCATACCTTTTAATATTACGTTTAAACACATGATTTATATCTCTAAAAGGTATGTTAAGCTCACTTATATCATGCTCAAAATTACCATTAAAAAAATTATCAAAAAATCTCTTCATTGCTACTTAATTTCCTTATCTTTCACTAAAACTTTTTCGTTATCGTCTTTGATACATCTGATGCTATTAAGATACCTACTCTTCTTATCCTTCATCTTAGTAATTTTGAACAATATCTACAAGAAAACTGATATATATTGACACTAAAAAATGTCTATTCTTTTTCTCCATCTCTTGTCTCTAGTTTTCTGTATAATTCCTTATAAATCTTAGACTTTGAATCTTGAATAACCTTTTTGGCTTCCTTTTTTTATTGTTTTATAGTTCAGATAACTCATCTCATCCCTATTACTTTTTAAATTCCTATAATATTCCCACTAGCTTTAATTGTCATCTTTACATCCTCATTTCACCACCAAGATTCTTTTTTAATGGTGCACGACCCCTAGATTTGCCAACTTTCTCTTTGGCAATCATTTGAATTATAGTAGAAGTTTTTTTTTTTTACATTTCTTTTATATCCTCATCAGGCTTTCAATTAACCTCTTTTATCAGTTTATCCCTAAAAGCTAATATTTTGTCCTTTTTCAAGTTCCACCTCTTAATACATGATTCATTATTTTGATGTATTCTCTTTGACCATTGAAGGTGAAAGATATCTAAAATTAGCAATCTATGTTATCTTGTCACTCTTACTCAATCTAACCTTACAATCCTTACAGCTACTTTTATCATCTTTTCTCATAAAAAAAAATCAATTTGATCAGCATTTAACCCACTCCTAAATATCACCAAATGTGATTTTCTTTTCCTAAAACATGTACTTAATATAGTTAGGTCAAATGTAATAGCAAACTCTAAAATATTATCCTCCGTGTCATTTATTTCTCCAAAGCCATATCTACCATCAATCCTTTCAAATTCACTACAATCCTTGCCTACATGATCATTCATAGCTCTTTCAATAAACAACTTTTCTCTGTTTAGTTTGACTCGCACTAATTCATCTAAATCTTTCTAAAATTTTTGCTTACTTACTTAAACCAAACTTATTTACCGGGCATAAGCATTAATGACTTTAACAGTTTCCTCTCCTAATAGAAGTTTAACACATAAAATTCTATCTCTCTTTTTTTAACCTCAACCTTATTTATCCTTTCATTTCTACTCCTATCTTTTCCTGTGTACCAAAACTTAAAAGTCCTATGTTTCTATCTATCTAGTATTTCCCTTACCAATTTAGTTTTTTGGAGACACATAATATTAATTTCTTTCCTAATCATGATCTCTTTTGTCTTTATTAGCTTATCAGTTAATGATCCTAAATTTCAAGTAGCTAAGAGTAACTTACCTCTATAAACTAGATTATTTACTTGTGTTCGTCCATTAAAATACAAAAACTTTTACCTTTTTGACACCACACTTAAACAATGACCTAGCAACTTTGGTTTTCATCTTGGTTTGGCTATGTTTTATGCTAATCGTTATCCTATCACAACATAAAAAGGTATCAATAGAATTACTAATTTTATTAATGAAATGGGTGTCTAAAGAAAGATTTTAAATGTATCTAAAAAAAATATTTCTTCAAATTTTTTTTTTAATTTTTAAGGTATCCATGTGCACCCCACTTTCAAGCATGAATCCACCATTAGATGATTCACTCTTTTTTTTAAGAGCTGAATTCATATAAGGGTGGAGTTCAATCCCCAACATTTACATTAATTTTATTTCCCCTATCCCTTAAACTTCAAGTTACTTTTTTTGTAAAAAAAAAAAGGATATTTTAATATATATTTTTATTAAATTTAAGTACAAATTTGTTACGTGTGAATTTAATTTAATTTTTATATTTGATATAATAATTATGTTATATAAACCAAAAAATTTTATTTAATTTATAATTAAAATTTTATATATATAATATTATTAAAATCTAATCCAGTCCACCCGTCAAACCGCCAATCACCATCGTTAGCCTTAATAATGATGTTAATATTTTGGTTTCATATTTATTTCTTTCATTTAATTGGATAAAAAAAAAAGTCACACCTTTTTATTAAGCTCATCAACATTCTTGAAGCTTGTAACTTTTATTTTTATTATTGTCCCTAAAACCTTATAATAAAATATTAAAAAATAAATAATATGGTCAATTTTAACATAATTATTTTATTTAAAATAGATTTGATCATTTGAAATACGAGACGATGATATGATATGAAGATAATACGAATAAAAGACACGAAAATAATATGACTTAAAATTTAAAAAAAACCATAAATAAGTTTAAGAAAATCAAAAAATTATATTTTATGTTTTTGTGTTAACATGATTTGTAACATAAAATTTTCATATAAAATATGATACGAATTTAATATTTTATACAACACAATAACACGAAGGCCAAGTCTATTCAAAAGTGATTATAGTTAGAACATGATCACATAGTTTAAAATTGGTTTTATGAATTTTTTATGATTTGGATTAGACCTAAAATTAAAAAAAAAAAAATTAAGGTCAAATTTATCATTAACTATGACTTAATATTAAAATTTATCATTATATTTTTAATTTTTATTTTTAAACATTTCATGAAGTATTTCATTAATACAAATGATAACTTTTCATCAATCTTATTAATTTTATTAAGTTTTTTGTTTCAAAATCAATAAAATTAAAAGTATGATAATAAAATATAATAAAATTAAGATACAGTGATAAAATTCAATATTTGTCCTTAGTAATAATAAATTTAACCTTGATTTCACTTAAAAAAAATTTACATTCAAATTAAATAACTTCAAACTTGTCAATAAATTTGATTATAACTCACTAGCTACATAACTAATGAAGTAATGATCTAATGATAAAAACAAGTAAGGGCTCACCTAAACTCACATGTCATATTAGACTTTAGGAAGTTAAGATGTTCTAATCAGTTGGAAAAAAGATTAAACAAGAAAAACGGTTTGTGAAGAAGAAATAGTAAAAACAAATGTGAAGCTTAAACATTTACTCTATCATCACATGATTTTAGAGTTTAATTTAATTTATTAATGTATATTTTTTAAAGTTTAAAATCTAATATTTAAGATTTTTTTTATGTTTGTAATACAATATCCATAAAAAATAATTGATTTCATAATCACGTTAAAAGCTTTTAATTTCGATTAATTTTAATTTGATTAAGTTAACATATTATTGAAATTAACATTTATAAATTATGAATTTAAAAAAATTTATACATATAATATTTTTTTAGCAAGATATGTAATAAAATAAAAAATTTTAAAGATAGATTAAAAATTAAAAAAAATTCTGATTTTGAGTATTTTCTCATATCTCAATATAAGCTCTCATCCTCTTTCCTTCTCACATACCTAAAACATTCCAAGGCATAAATATCTCGCCCCCCTCGTCCGCTACAGAGAGCCTGGACGGTTAAGGGATGGATGACTCCCACCCACTCATTCTCTCAATCATAACACCACCCAACCCCTTTCCTCTTTCTCTTTCCTTTCCTACTTCACATAAATCCATATACCCACATTTGTACCACTTCCTTTCCCACTTCACTACTCTCTCTTTCTCTCTCTCCCGACCAGACTAGACCTATCAGATTTTTTGTACACTTCTTAAATCTCTCTATCTTATAATTAATTCATATAAAATAGAAGAAAAAAAAACAATAATTTTCTTGTTCCTTGTCGTCCTAGCTCTCTCTTTGTTATTATTATTCCCGTTTCTCTTCATCAATTCTTCAACCTTGATCCATAATATTTGTATTTCTTTTGCTTTCCTTCGTTCTAGGGGAATATATAGTTACAAAACTATTTTAAAAAAAAGAGAGAAAAAAAGTTGGAAAAAAATGTCACTGGACTTGGCATCTGAACGTGTTTGTTATGTTCACTGCAACTTCTGCAACACCATTTTAGCGGTACAGCACTGAATTCCATTATTATTTCTTTCTCTATTTATGTTTCTTCTTCATTTTTTTCCCATGTCTTTTGCAAAGAGAGCTGAATTGGCCCTGACTGGCTTGTTTCAGTGTTACCCTTTTGTTAGCTGAAATCATTTTGGTTCTTTTTCTTGAAGAGCAAAGTGGGAATTCACCTGAAAAGACCATATATGGTCTTCTAACCCAATTTACAAAATGTCCTTTTCTGGGAAAAGAATTTTCACTTTTCATGGTTCATGGATCATGAGATTTTCTTGATTTAACTTGGAAAATAGCCTAAAGATTCTGTTTCTTATGTCGTATGTTATGAAAAATTTTAGCCTGGTTTTGTTTCAAAGTCTCCAACATGACTCTAAAAAAGCACAAGTATTATATATATGTATTTGGAGCACAGTGTGAAAGCATTTTGGAAGGCCAAGGAAATATAATAACTGGGTATTTGATGAATTGGAAACCCTTCAAAAGACGGATCTCTCATAGACAAGTAAATGAAGCTTGGACCAACTGAGTTTCAACAGTTCAAAGAGAAGCAAAATATCCCAAAAGACTACTTCTGGTGATAAAGCTTTTGAAGATAGCTATGACTAGGGCTACAGGTGGGCATTATTTAGGGTTCTTCCAGGTCAAGGTACAAGTAAAAAATGGAGCTTCTTTCCTTCTCTAGCTACCTTCCAAGGTCATGTTCGTGGTATTTCATGTCTGATGTACTACTCTCCAACCTAATGCAAGCCTACCACTTGCTTTAGTTTTCCACTTGAAATTCTCATAACCAGTAACTTGGGTCTTCTTCATTTATCAGCTACACCTGTCTTCTACAGCTATTACCATCAAGAATAATCATTTTTAATAGTTTAATTCCATATCTGATGAAACTAGAAACCACTGTTTTTTTTAAGATCTTTTCTCTTCAGGAGGTGGAGGTGAAGGCAGGTGCTTCTGCTTCTAAACACCATGGCACTGAAAGAATACATCATTTTTATCTGTGATCAATATATATTCAATATGATATCAAGTTCTTTTTATTATTTGGTGCATAGTTTCAGGTTTTTTTTACCTTTAAGTACAAAAAAGGGGTGTTTTTCTTTCTTTGTAAAAAGAAGTTGTGGGGAGAGCTGGCAAAGAGAAATCATGGCTAGCCATAAACCGAAGTGCTTTTCCTCTCTTTTTTTAACCTCCTTTCATCATATCCTGCCTCTGTTAAGCAACCCTTTTTGAAACCAATCTCTCTTTCTATACATCTTCTCTCCTATCCCTTTCATTTTTCTTTTCCTCCAGTACTCCCAAACAAACAAAAACACATTTAAAATACAAGATCCTAAACACTGCACAAAGATCAGTAAATAAATCACCATTCATGATTTTATCTTTTCTTTATTCAATGACCATCTTTGATAGCTGTGGTTACTGGTCATGGCCTTTATGGTTTCCGTTCCAGTCACGTCGTTTTCACCTCTCTCTCTCACTCTCTCACTGGGCTTTTTTTTTTTTTTTTTCTAGCTTTTATCATCTTGCTTGCGGTGTCAGGCAGAAAAGTCAGGCGCACCGAAAGGAAAACAGATATTGGGAGAAGTCCTTTGTAGTTATAGTTATTGCCCATGTGAACTGTGCGAGCATGAGGTCTTAATATAATTTGGCACCTGCTATCATTTCTATCTCTTGATTCTTCCCCATATAAAAGTACCCTCAAAGAAAATTGAAAGCCATACATAGTTTGTAGGGAAAGGATTACTTCATGAATCCTGTTTCTTCTTCTTCTTTCAAAATTGTTTTGGTGGCAAGTATTTGGATACTCTGAATATGGCAGATCTGGGGACTATAAAAGGATAATGTATGGGATCTCAAACTATATAAGGTTTGGGACTTTAATATCATATTGGTGTTTGATCATGTTGTGTGAAGCAAAAAACGTTCATCAAATTTTTTATTTTGATCATCAGTAGCTTCAACTCTTTCTACGACCAAAATAGAAAGATATGGTTGGCTGGCTATGCAGACAAAACTCAAAAGCTTGATACATTGTTGTTTCTGATCAGTTCTCACTACTTTATTAAGCTTGCAGGAGCTTTTATAACATTTCCAAAATGGTAACTTTTGCAGGTTAGTGTTCCATGCACCAGTTTGTTCAACATAGTGACTGTTAGATGTGGGCATTGTGCCAATCTGCTGTCTGTAAATATGGGAACTTCACTTCAAACGATTCCCATTCAAGATGCTCAGGTATTTTCGGGTTCTTTTGGCCCCTCTTTTTTCTGGGACATTCTTATGACTTCCTGAAATATTAAATTAAATTCAATACATGAATAGTTTAGTAAAGAATGTTATAGTATTTAAGACAAGAAGGGATACATTTTTTTCAGTAACCAATGATTCCAAAGCATATTATTTTGTGGGTTCCTAACCCTTTTAGCTGATAAGATACTCTGGTTTTTTCAGAAAAAAATATGAAACAATTATTGCTGTTTCAGTTGACTTGACCTCTTTCCTCTTCTTTTTCTCCAACTCTTCGTTTCTGTTATAGGGTTTTTGCTAAATATGTAACCATGGCTTTGGATGTGCTATTTAAATCAAGGCCAAAGTTTAGCATCAATGGTCTTCTGCTTAAAAAGTGCTATTAGTTGTGGCCAAAGAAAGGGATTGTTTGGATGATGTACTTCTTTGTTTTATTTTGAGAGGAGTTGCAGAAACAGCAGATAAACACTGATCAGGATCATTTAAATAAGGAATGTGGATCGTCTTCCGAATGCAACAAGTTTTCTGCATTTGATTCTGCTGAGGATGAAGCACCTAGAATGCCCCCTATTCGCCGTCAGTCTCTCTCTCTCTCAGAGAAATATATTTATAATTATTAGTTTATTACATTCAAATAAATTGAGCTAGGTACAATTCAGTAAATGTTACATGTATTGCTGATACCAAAGGGTTAAATGCTGAACCTACTGTGGAAAACCCTGAACAAAAAGGTATCTCCCTCACACTGGCAACAGCAAATAATCAAGTAGAATTAATCACCACAATGTCAATAGGGCCACCTGTGAGCTTTCGCCTTTCAGAAACAACTTAAGCAATCCATCTGATCTCTCCTCTCCAATCATGGCCCCTCCCCAGATGGTGACCTTACATAACAAGTTTAACTTCTCAATAATTATTAACAGTTCCCTACACTACCCTAAACCATAAGAAAGTTGCCCCTAGAACATACGTTAAATGATCATATCGCAGTTTGATATACATTTCTTTATCTCAAAGAATTAATTAAAAGCAATGCCTTTTGCCTTTGTGGTTTGTTTGCATCTAAGTAGACCATTAATGAGTATCCTGACTGCAAGCCTATACTTGCCTATTCTATCAAACTTTCACAGGCCAGAATGTTGATTGGCTATGCCAATAGAAAATTTTCCACCCAATTTAGATTGAAAAACAGTTTCTAGAGTTAGGATCTTTGGGATATTGTATGGTTTGGCATCTATCTGCACATCTCTATGAATCAAACGATTATGATTATCGATCAGAAGTTTTAACTCTAAGAGCAGTGGGACCACTGCATATATTGACATTTGGAATTTTACAGCCTTACTTGTTTGGATTGTTGATGGATTACATGAGCAGTCCCGGTGTCCAAGATTCAAATTAATCTGCTATTAGTGCCAATACCTATTCTGAACAGAACAGAAAAAGAATTATATAGATATATGAAACCTTACTTAGGCTCCATTTTGATAAGATTAAAAATAATAATAATAATTACTGTAACTGTTATTAAAAAAAATATTATAGTTGTGATTAAAATAAATTTTAATAAGAAATTTATATTGATTTGACCTCAATATTTGAATTTAATTGATAGTATAATGAGCTTAATCGTACCATATCGAAAGTGCGGTGAAATTCAAACAGAGACTTAATAGATTGATGAGCCCAAAGGATCTAAATCTAGTGTTTTGTTTAATTAAGCTTGCTTATAATTAGATGTTTAATGAACTATATGTGATCAATAATGCAGCCCCTGAGAAGAGACAACGTGTTCCTTCTGCATATAACAGGTTCATCAAGTAAGTTCAACAAAAATTTCATGGTTACTTGATTATGGATCATAACCCTTTTGTCTCTCTCTCTCACTTTCCTTTTCTGGGCTCTTACTATTTTTAGAGAGGAAATCCAAAGGATCAAGGCTAGTAATCCAGACATCAGCCACAGGGAAGCTTTCAGCACAGCAGCAAAAAATGTAAGTTTTTCATGTTCTGCAAATGTGATAGATCGATAAAGAATATAATCACTGTTTATCCTTCCACGGCATAACTCCATTATAAGAAATTAGTCCTTCCAATTAATATAGGTAGGCCATAGTTCTCCCCTCCCCCATTTCGCTGCAGTTCTATATTAAGAAGCATTTACTGTGGTTTGTTAGCATGATTTACACAATGTTAGACCTCTCAACTACCATTAATATAAGGCTTGTGCTGTAACTCATGGTTTTTCAGTTAAGGTGTTTTCATTACTTTTTTTTTTTTTTATAGTTGATGGGTCACTTTGAGTATAGAAAGCTAGCCAATGATAATGCATTATCCTCAATCATATATATAATCAATAATAATGAATAATATCAACAACAAAAAAAACCATATACAAGTAGTTACTTCTTTCACCCAGATAAGTAACTGCTCCCTTTATCTTATATTAAATAATATCATTAGACTTACATAACACACATTTTAAAGAAAAACAAAGATAATCTTTATTAAAATTTTAAATTAAATTCAATATATATAAATGTTTAATTATTATTTTTTTTGTACAAGGCTTGTAACCATTTTAATGCCAAAACTGATTAAAAAACTGAGAAATCATTGTTGGATATAATATATATATATATATATATATATAATAAGAGTTGAAATTGAAGTTTAAAAAATGAAAAATAAAAAAAATTAATATGATTTGAGATGTCATAAAATCAAAATGTTCTGAGAGAGAGAGAGAGTTGTAAAATAAGTCTTTTAACATAGGAAATATATATGGTCAGAGAGTGATTTTAACGTAAGGCTAGTCATTTCCTGAACCCATCAATAATTTTCTTGCTTCTGTTTTATGTGAAATTGGACATATATGGAGCAAATGTTATATGAAACCCAGATATGCAGCCTGCACTAGCTCAAACATTTTTGGCAATATGATCACAAACTTGTGTCAGAACTCTTAAGCATGATTTGATATTTCATAGTAGAAAAGGCTATCAAACTCTTATAATATTTGCAATATTTTAAAAGATATGATAGGGTCTAGTAATTGGAAGATAAAGCCTCCACTCATGAAAATTTTCAAATGGATGATTTCCCTAAATAACTTATTACTTGTTTTTACATACATACTCCTCCAAGGGTAAAGCACTAAAACTTATATATTTTTTGAGAAAAAAAAATCTAAAAAATGGCTTGTAATATTAAAATACTGCAGATATTTTTAATTTTTGCCAAGATAAAGAATCTTAAGAGGAAATATTTAACCAAGGGTTTCAGTAAATTAAATTGATCTTTAGGGTTTAATTTCTATATGACAAACTTTTTCTAAGGTGATAGCTCTTGAAATGGTTACAAGTACAGTATCTCTTTAAGAAGAAAGAAAAACCAATCATAATATACAACTGCTAGAGTTGTTCATGAAAGATAGCCAAACTTACCTAACCTATGATAGGGAAGATCATCACTCAAGAATCAACCAAACCTTTAAGCTGATGCTTGTAGAGTAGTTGGTCCTTGGTCGTTCATCACAAGCAGACGACTGAAAAGGAAAAGCTTCTTATTCCACACCACAGGTTTAAGAATGCACATTGAATTTCACCAGATAAAACTGATGAGACCTTCATTTATTGAGGTTGACTTAGAAAAACGTTATGGTGCTGCCTTCTTTCCTTCCTTGTGCTTTTATGGAAATGAATGGACAAGACCATTGGACCTGCCTCCATGAATGCTTCAAGTGTTTGAGCCTACTAGTTTAAGCTAGAAATTAACAGGGTTAGAAGGCATAAGAGACAGGCACAGTTATGCTTCTTAATTAATTGGTTATAGTAGTTAGAAGTAAAATGCTATATCCACAGCTTGTGCTCAAAGTCAATGATCATAATTGTTTTTGTTCACATTTTACCTTTTATTATTAAATATAATTAGCTGTCTAAAGATACTCATGATCATCAGTCGTGACCATTGATTCTGTATATATATTCCTTCTTTTTTTTTCTCTTTTTGAATGTTAAAAAGGCAGGATTTGAACTCAATTTTTTGAACAAAAGATACATGGATCAATGATCCTCAGGTGCTACGTACCGTGCCTTACTGAAATTTAATACTTAAAGTTTCCTAATTGATCAATGATCCTCCCTATTACTACTAATGTCTTTCAGAAATTCAGACGCCCATGATATATTTTCCTTTCCTTTAGCCAAGAGATCAAGAACAATTATAGGAACATAGAGGCTATAGCTTCCTGTATAATTATGTCCAACCATGCATGCACCTTCAATAAGACAGCAGCATACCGGTAGTTTTATTACGATGATATTGGCCTAGGCACCAAAGAAGAAGAAAAAAACAAAACAAGGGGAAGATTTTGTCTATGCCTTAAAAGGATATCTTCAATTTCTTTCCTTTTTAATATTGATAGTTAAGACCAATAGAAGAAATTAACTTAATCAACCAACTTATGGATATACTTCAACTAATCCTTTCCCAAAGTCAGTGTAATTAACAACATTATCGTTTTTGCAGTGGGCACATTTTCCTCACATTCACTTTGGGCTAAAGCTGGATGGAAACAAGCAAGCAAAACTCGACCAGGCATTTGCAGATCAGGGTACTCAAAATTCTAACGGGTACTACTAAAAGACAATGGCAACCTGTGAGTAGAAGCCCCAGACATCATCATATATATCTATATATATGTTATTATATGTTTAATTACTAAAGGAACTGAGGTTTTGATGAAGGCCCTCCTGAAAACCTCACCTTGTTATCATGTGTGTGTTGCCCTTTCCACCTCTTAAATTTCCATCAGAATTGCAATTTCTTTCTATTCCAGTGATTGATTGTATTTTATGTTGAATTCAGATCATATTTTCAAGTAAACAAACATTCCCAGGGAATAATATGTGCAATTTCTTTTGGAAACAATTATGGCAAAGTCTTAGTCTCTATCTCTTGTCTCTCTCTATCTGATCGTTCTAAATTCTTCAGAGTGGACAGTCACCTTTGTCCACTGCATCTAGCTAGCCAGAGAGGACCACTTAACCAATATGACATTTCATTGGCATTTCAAGCTGTGATCTATTATAATGCCGGCTTCAGGCTTTTATTTGAGCCTAACTCATCAGCATCGATCTTGGAGAGAAAGAGAGAGATGAGAATTGAGAAATAAAGACGTTAGGTTAGCAAATAGCAATAGTACGTAATAGTTTGGACGGATGACATAATGGATAAACAGTTCTTTTGCATGTGTCCACATGTCAGGTTCAGAGCTCAAATCAAATCGCTAGAAAATTTGAGATGACCAAAGTAATTGTAGTTTATAGTATTTGTTGCTTTTTTTTTTTCAACCAATTTGATGACAGAAAAATCATGCATAAAGATTTACAACAATACACCACACACACACACACACACACACACATCCTTGGGATACATAAACAACTTCTATAGCTAATTTGGCCAACCAAACCATACAAATGTTCTTCAAGGGACTACTGACTGCAGAAATGTATATACATACTCTTTCTTTACTTGATTGTGTCTTAAATCTTAATTTCTTTCCCTAAATACCTCACCAGCCTTTGAATGAAAACTTTCGACTCTTAATTTTTGTCACCTTGTTTCTTCTTGGGGCCACCTTCAAATTGGGTGTAAAACTTTAATCTTTTTTTAATATGTGAGAAATATTGCTACATATATTATAGCAATTAGTATTAATAATCAAATACACCAACGACAAGTTGACTTGATTAGTAAGCTTGTTTGTTTTTCTATAAACTAAAAATATATAATTATTTTAAATTCGAGTCTTACTAACAATTACTAATAATCTTTGACGTACCAAATATCAATTTAAATTTTTTTATAAAAGAGTTATTATTTGAAAATATTAAAAAATTTTAAATTTATTAAATATTATTTTTACAAATAAAACAAACTAAATTAAAATTTAAATTCGAATATCAATTTAAATTTTATGATAAGGAATCTTTTCAAGAAAAAGCTCTAAATATTTGCATTACCCTTTTTGAAGGGGCATATAGCCTATGGTGCTCACTTATTTATAATTTCAGAAGTCAAAATGAAGGACAAGGAATTGTTAGCGGCCAAGCAGAAAAATAGTAATAAAAACCCTAGATGTCTAGTCAACAACACTATTAGTGAGTGATGCTGGTCGTTAGGATTGGTGCAGATTAATCAATGCTTAAGTCAGCCATTAATGATTTGTAATCTTTTCACTTTCATAGCCCCTACTTCTAAGTTGTATCCTCGTCTTTCTCTGTCTCTCTCCAGTCTGAGCCAAAACTTTTTGCACTGTTCCTTTTTGGTTTTGAATAACAATAAGAGAGCTAGCCCACATCAAGCAGTAAAAAGCTTAGATATGCTTCTGTCATTCTGAGGTCATGAATACCCAAGTATCAACCAATAAAAACAAGCTGTGATATATATATATATATATATATATATATATATATATAAAGCCACAAGTAGTCATGATTATCCCTTATTAGAGTTAATTTCATAAATAATTTTTGAATTATAATATAATTTTTAATATGGAATTTGAATTATAAATTTATTAATTAATATAATATTTTTTTATTTTAATTAATTTCAAATAATAATACTTGATAAATAAATAATTATTCAAATATTATATTAATTAATATATTTATAATTCAAATATTAAGCTAAAAATTTTTAAATTTAAATATTATATTAAATATTTTATTATAATTTAAAGGTCTTTTGTGATATAAAACTTATATATAAAAATGTTTGAAAAGTAAGATCCCTTTGCTTGGTGCAATCCCTACTAGATACATAGAGAGCACGGTACACTTGATGTCATGCTTAAAGAATTGCTATATTATATATTTTTGCAGGTATGTAAGGATATAAATTCTAATCATTCACTTGTAAAAATGCTGAAAGAAATTTCAAAATAAGTCTGAATTCAATTTCACAAAATCTTAAAACATTCTAAATAATTCATAAGAGCTTCTAAAATCTTTTCACCTCCAAATTAGTAGTTATTTATCAACGTTCACTCAGCCTAGATCCTTCAATGAAAATTAGTCGGCTGGTAATTATTTTTTGACATTTTAAAAAGAATAAAATAAAAAATAAGCATACATATTGAGTAAAAAAAAACTTCCTCAATTAGCTGGATCAATATATGCTACATACATATAGATTTCAAATCACCTCAAAAATATGCTCAAAACAAAATTTTAAATTAATATTTCATAAAAACAATCATTCATATTTTAATAATAACATAAATTTCTGATTTAGTTCATACACTTTTTTTTTTTTTCATTTGAGTTGGAATTTCACATAAGGTGAGACAGTGACCTCACCACCAAACGTGCATGGCATTGGCATGTGTTGATATATATATATATATATATTTATAGCATGAATTCTCTAGACTCCAATTGTACTGTAAATTGTAGTTCAAAAGAAAGGCAGGCCTAGAGAAACATTAAGAAACAAGAGGGTAATAGGGTGTAAATGAAAATGGGGTTTGTCTTTTGGGATAGGAGCTAAAAGTACAGAATCTGTAATGTCAAATCATGAGTTGGTATTTGCGAAGTATATATATATGTTGAGATTTTATTTTCATGTGTTTAAAAATTATTTTAATATTATTATAAAAAAATGCATGGATTGGGTTGTCATGTCACATATAATAAAGCCAAGCTATCTGTTTCTATCTCTCTTTGGGGATTGGATTAGAAAAGGAAAGAGCCGCTGCTGCGTATCTGAGCAATCAAGCAGGCAGCAGCAGAGAGAAAGAGAGAAAGAGAAGGGTGAGTCAGTCAGTAGTGAGTCAAGGCTGTCTCCCCACTTCATGCCTTGTCTGGAATTCTGATATGATAACCCTCTTTTCTTTTCTTTTCTTTCTTTTCTTTTATCCCACACCACAACTCCCTGCAGTGTGCAGTCCCCGCTCCTGCTTTCCTCACTCACATTATTTTAGCACCACTAGCATGCATCTCATTACCTCTCTCTCTTCCAATTCTTTTTTTTTTTGGTCAAAATCTCAATAATTACCTATTCATTCTTTAATCCAGAAAGGAAAAGAGTGGAGACCACAAGTACTTGTATCTTTTTGACATGAGCTAATCTCTATTTGCTCACTGAATAATTTACCCATTTGGTCATTCATAGTAAAATTTCTTAGGATTGCTTTAAGATTAATATTTAACCAATGAAAAATTATGATTTAACATTTTTAAGTGTTTAGTGTTGTTGTAAAAAATTAAAATGCTTAAAAAATACGCAATGTTAAAAAGAAAAAGTAAATTTTTTTGTCAAAAATGAATAATTGATTGGATATTTGATAATTTTGATTCCAAATTATAAATTTCAAATTGCAATTGCAATTTTCAATTATCTTTTATGATTAGTTCACTTTTAACGGTTAAAAAAAATATTTTTAACACAAATCATAACGTGTTTAGCAAAATTTTTTTGTTCAAAAACCGTGTTTGGATTTGTGCTTTTGAATCATAGTCCAAAACACAATTTTTTAAAGCAAAAATAATGCTAAACATACTATAGTTTGTTTTAACAGCATTTTTTGCTGCTAAAAATAAGCCAATCGCAAAAATTAATTGAGAGATATTTGAAATTTACAGTTTGGAGATAAAATTATCAAATACCCGTTTAATTATTTATTTTTGAAAAAAATAACCTATTTTTCCTTTCCAATATCACGTAACTTTTAAATATTTTAATTTTTCATAACCATGCTAAATACTTAGAAATTTTAAATCATAATTTTTTTACAATAATTTTTTACAGTACTTTTCCAACATAATTTTTCTAACCTGAGTTTTTCCCACAACTATGAAGAGATAAGATTTATAAGATAAGGTAGATTTTGTAACTTAAAAATTAGACATATATAATTTTAGTTATTTAGAATTATTGTTTTTTCTTATTAACAAAATGACCATAAATTAGGCAAAAATCTTCTTCCACATTTGAAAACATTAAAAGCTTAAAATTTCATTTTAAGAATGCTATAAATACTAAAACTTTTTTTACATTTGATTTTGTTAAAAATTGAATCTGATCTTTAAAATTAAAAATTCAAAACTTTATCAATATATCAGATCGACTGATAGCTTAAATAATAAAACTTTGATCATTTCAGTTTAGTGCATGCGCAGGCTAACTTGTTAGTTCCTTTTTTTATTATTATTATTATTTTTTTTTGGAATGCTATTTACTTGCACAATAAAAAAAATTCTAACAGTTGGATATCATTAACTAAGACATTTCTAAACTGAAAAGAAAAGAAAAGAAAAATTCATATATATACACATAGGTAAATAAATTTGATAGATTTTTAAAAATGAAGCTTTAAGTTCATACTGTTCGATTGAATTTGATTTGATTTTGAGATTTTTACTTATTTGGTGTTATGGGTTTGAAACCTACCGCTATTTTTAGGTTGCATTTTCAATTTTTTTTTGTTTTAATATACATATAAAAGAAGTTACAATTTGAAAATATAATAAAGGATCGAAAGTTACGATATTTAAACCTCAAACCTTTGAATGTTACTTTGTAATAGTGATTATATAAATCAACTAAATTAATTTCCAATATTTATACATGATTTCAATTGAACTTCGAGAAAATCAAAGAGTTTCAATCTTATCTTTAAGTTATGATCTCATCAACATATCTTATAAATTTAATATATTGATAGTAATTTTTCAATATGGCATAATTTTGTAGGGTGACATGCTTTTGCCTGAGGGAGAGAGCCACGATGTCAATGTTGGCATGAAAGAGATTTTACAATACAAAGTCTAGTCTTAATTTGTAATGTAATCTGTTATTCAATTATATCAATAGAAATTCACTTTTTTTTCCCTTTCAATAAAAAATAAAATAAAATTCTTATGGTGTATGTTCGTTCTTATTATTATTGCGAAAGCGATGCCAAAACCCCAAACCAAATTTCCCCAACTTAATTAAATGATGGATACGTATTTTGTTTTGATCAAATTCTTCCACATGACCATGGCACGAATTGGACCACCTCCAATGTACGTAGCTGCTATTACGTAACACACTTGTTACGGCATTAAGACAAACAATATTGAACTAATTGACCTGTGAAATTCATGACTTATAAGTTGAAAAATAATTTCATGATAGCGATTATTTACGCCATTCTATATATTTTTTTCTATTCAAATAATGTCATATAATTGTGTTTTTCAAGAAAACCAAATAATTATTACCTCTCAAATAGGATAAAATTTTATTTATTTAATAATTTTTATAATAAATTATTGATATTGTTTTAAGATCATGATTATGTTATATGATTTTAATTGACATTACATATTTTAATATGAAATAATTGTTTCATAGAATCCTTTTTCATAAATCAGGATTGGACTCTCCTTTATTAATTTTCTAGTAATTATTTTCCACAATTACAAACATTATTTTTTTTAATAAATTTTATACTTTGGTTTCTTGAGATTCCAATTTTTTTTTTAAAAAAAAGAGTAATATTTCTTTGAATTAAAATGATTAGCATTTTATTTCTTCCAAAATATATATGTAGAATGTTAATAAGTGGTGCAAGTGGAGAATTTGTTCTTTTTTATTATTATTATAATTGCTAAAAGAAAAGAAATGTGAGAAATTATTGTGATCCTAAATCCAGTCTGGAGTCAGTGTCCTCCAAAACCAAAATAATAATGTTGAGCTTACAATGTCACTTGTATAAATTCTCTTATCTCCTTTGTACACTTCGCTTTCACTTCTTTTTGACCACCCTGTTATTCCAAGATACGGTTTTTTCCCAAAAAAAAAAAAGTTTACTTTATTTTTGTAAGCAAACAATTTAATTTTCATGCATATAGTAAGTTGAAGAACTTTTTGGATCTCATATGAAATTGCCAGGAGATTTGGATTTGCCTATGACATAATGACTGGAAATGGGAAGTTCTTTTGGACTTTCCCTTGCATGCATGAATTATTTTTTGTAATCTGATGCCTACTAGCTATCATAATTGTTCCATGCATACAAACAAATTTACCATAAAAAATCTATGTTTGGTGATTTTTAAACCAATTGAAATTGAATTATCAAGTGAGCAATCAAATTAATCAAAGCAAAAGAAAAAAATTACCTGCCTTTCTAGTTTCTTGAAAGTTCAAGAAAATTCTTGTCAAGTTGAAACCAAGAAATCTTTGGCTTTTTTTTTTTTTTCCAGAAACTAAAAGCAACTACATCACAGAAATTTGGGCTATTTTTTAGCAATTGGAACATGTGCCAAAATGAAAACAAAAATTGAATCCGAACTTAATTAATTCATGCAATTATCCTTAAAAGGGATAACATTCAACAAGTTCATTGATCAAATCCCGTCACCGGTAACCTTTTCTCATATCTCAAATTACAAGCTCCTTTGTAAAAAAGAATGTCACCACTTTTAGAATAATACCATTCTTCAAACATGCTCTTGTCAAATAAATGTTGGATTCAATCACTGTCTGACTCTAATTATCCAATATTTAAAAGGGTTAAAAGAAAAGAGAACAAGAATTAGCTGCTTGTTGAAAATGGAGAATTAATTCTCACAGCTTTGAACCAGTCCAAGCACATGCAAATAATGCAATTCTTTATCCCAACTGTCATCTGTCAATTGTTAAGATATATGTTTGGGGTGATTCCAAAACATGCAACATGATGTTTGCAAATTGAAACAAAATTCTCAACACTGACCTTTAATGAGGAAACCCCAGCATTCCTGACCAGGACAATTTCACATGATTAAGTTGAATATTTTTTCTTTTTTAAATTAAAAATTGAAATTTCTTTTTCAAATTCCATAAATTGGACCCCCCACATGCAAGATCACACCATAAATTTGCAATTCTAGTCTTTTGTTTAATTTGTGTCATCTTCTCTTTAATACAATGCCAATAGATAAACAACTGATAATACAAGAAACCATCAATTGAAATCAAGTAGAGATTAAAGGTTGACACTCAAGTGAGTGAGAAATGAGAACCACAAGGACCTGAGCAAAATGTGAACCAAGGGATTGTGGTCCTGGAGTTGAATGGGCTCATGGTACCATGGTACCATGGTACTACAATTATCAAGAAAGTCAGGTCACATCTTGCACAAAAAGGGGAAGAGAGATGTGGTCCACTATACTAGTAAAACTCATTGAGAAAAAGAGGTAATAATATCTTCCATCTTATCCTACATATGGTTAAGAAAAAAATCTCATGTCATTTTTCCCTTTTTTTTCCTGAGAATTTACTTGATTCCATCTTTTCAAATGACACGAAAATTCCAGTCATTCCCTAAGCAAAATCTGGATTGAAGTATGCATGCAGGCATGAAGAAGTAATTTGTATTCTACATTCACATTCTTAGAGAAAGGATAAGGCAAAAGTGCAGAGAGGCAATAAATTATGAAACATTGGACATTGGCATGTTGAAAATGGTAATTCATGAATTAGCAATTTAATCAATCAATTCAGTGTTCAATCGTCAGTTGTACAATAACAGTAAACAAAAACTACACTTTCATGTGTTAAAAGCAACAACCTCTGGTAAAACTTTCACAATGTGAAAAACGCAAAACGCTAGACACCAGCAAATGGTTATAGGTATAAAAGAAAAATGATCCCCTTCAGTCTCTCTCACCTCTCACCTCTTAAATTGCTACTATGTTACAGCCATCACTGGCATCTACTCTAAGTTTATAATCTCCCTTCCTCTTTAATGCTAGATACTATCAACTTAGACTAAACAATGCCAAAGATGAAAGAATGCCTACTCTTTTGAGATTGATAATTGCAAAGCAGCAAAAATTTAGATATATTCACCAACAAATAATACCTGACTTCAAATGGTTTAATCGGTAAGTGATGACCCAGATGCTTTTATTCCACAACTCTTCTGTAGAAAAGAAGATAAGCAGCAGATGTCTTTATCTTCTCCGGGCTGACAGAATAAACACGGCTATCATCGAACTCGTACCACAGACCACCCCCATGCTACATCAAAGAAACAAAAATTAGAATATTCTAGCTGTACCAACATACAATCAAGTACACGTGCAATTATTTTTCACAAATTCTTAGAATGAAAAGAGAAATATTTTTATATTTCATGCTAAACAAATTAATCAGTATCACCATTATATAATCTATTGGCATTTATGTATGTACATCCTCTTTTGAAATAAGCCTGCTTTATAAGACCCAATCTTAAAAGGATTTTGGGCACCTTTTTTCGGGGATTTGGGAGAGGGTCTGGGGCTTGAGAAGTGTGGAAAAAGCACATTCAGAAACTCGAAAGTTGCTGTACTAAGGATTTATTTCAGAAACAAAGTTCCTAACTAACATGTGCAGAGGTAACAAGCAAGAACTAAATAAGCTAGCTCATAAATGCTAAAATTTGTTTAATCACCAAACTAAAAATTTGCATGTATCAGGTCCTAAGGTAACACATGGAGAAGTCTCCATGCCTGTGGTGTAGACCCAGATACTTGCATTCTCAAAATGTTCATGTAACCTGATCAATGTTCCAACAAGGGGACTGATCACCATGGGTATCAATTTACTGAGACAGGTTTGACGTGTACAGCAACCCTATAGGTGTATGAGTTAGTGTATATGTGTTTTGTTCGGTCCACTTGAACAAGCCCACAGTATATAATGCCGCATGCTACACACAAAGGTAATATGCTATCATCTTATCTTGTTAATTCAATTATGATTAATATGAATTACAAATTTTTAATAAAAAAAAAAAAGTCAATAAATCGCTTTTTGTATTAATTTTTTCTATGGAACCAAAATCAAATCATGGTTAGGTCTTCACTTACATGGACAAATGCAGTATAATGACCACCTCCCATGCTTCCATAGTGATTACTGACGGCATAAAGCATGTAACGATTAGATAACTCACCATTCCTATAGCCAATATAATTTGACAAATCAAGATTGTCAACAGGAAAGTCAACATATGTCTCCAGCTTGTTTTTCAAGAATCGATTATATGAGAATCTTTTTAAATGAATAACCAGAATCTCAGGCAGTCTCCAAAGATCCAATTTTTTACTGGCTTGCCGGTGCTCTTTGCAGCCTGGACAATACCTAAAATTACATTAAACAAGACCATCCATTAGAAAGACAACGACGAGGAGCAACTTATCCACAAGAAGAGTTTGGTGGTTGAAAAAAGTGCTATTGTTTGTGCTTATTAGCCAATTTTCTCATATACATAAATACATTCATATATGAACGGGCCAATGTTTCAAGTACTCAAAACAACCTATTTGAGGATGTTTGTGGGGATTAGTAGCAAATCTAGAAAACAAATAGATTTAAAAAATGATAATTATCTCTTTCACAAATTAAAACAAAATGACATCTTTTTTCTTTTATTCTGAAGGACATGTAGGGCTATTAGTTCATAAAAAAGGCATTGCAGTGTCCAATAGGAAAGACCTGCACGCAAGGTTTTCTATAAGAAGGCAAAACAAAAACAAAGAAACATTGCAAGGATCAAAATAATCAGCAAAATAAGATTCAACTTGCTGATAAAAGTTAATGCTCCCAAATGAGTAGCAAAAATTCTAGTTATTTAAGATGCAAAAAATTTCATAAGCAAAGTTAAAAAAGAGCAAAACTATAGACACTGACCACATGTCCTCTGGTCCAAGTGGCTCCTCCATCAAGAATGCTTGAAGACACTTGTAAAGAGAAACAGATTCCTGAGGTCTCTTTGCAGAAAAGCAAGACTTAAAAATCTGCGGTAAAGAGCTAAGAAGCTGTATATCATACTGTTTAACATATTTTTCTGGCCAGGATGCTAGCACATGTAACCTCCCAGACGCTCCGGCAGCTCGTACTGCTTCACCCATAATTATCTGGGATTCCTTGACTATTCCCTTTTCATCTGTTATGTAAAATTGTAATTCAGCCTCTGAGGGTGGGACAACCCCATTTGCATCAGGGGGCTTTTCAAACCCATTTGAAACTGGAGATGATGCATGCTCTTTCTGAGAAATGTCTTCTACTGCAGTACTCTCAGAGGTATCAATCTCATCTAAGACTTCTTCAGCCTGTGACTGAAATGGATTTAGTAGTTTCAGATACAGACCATGGATGCCAGATCCATTGACAACATTAGAAAGCCTTGTAACAAGAGGAATTCCGAATGTCTTCCAACTTGAAGTCAGTTTCCCATGGATGGACTGCCTGAAAACAAGAAATGTAAAAAGCTTAGGTTACAAGAGACCAAACAAAACTAAAAGATATTCTCCAGACAAACCCAAATTACATGAGTGCAGCTGTAGGTGGGTGGACAACAAAGCTATTTTTTTGAGCCAAAAGAAAACAAGCAGTAAGTTTAAGTAACATATATCTTGCCAATCATAGGGGCTATCAACAAGTAGAGAAAGGAAAAGGAAAAAGAAGAAGAAACAGGAAAAACGGTTCAATCACATGAGTGTTTTATGTCATTTGGAGGTAAAAGACCAAATAATATGTGATTGCCTTTAACACTCAACAAGTTATCAAGTGAATCTACCATCTTTCATTCCCACCTAATGTTGAGAAGTAAACTAGAATTGACAAAAAAAAAAAAAAAAACTATCATCATTTTCTGTTATTAAGTTTACCTAGGGATTGTGTTTAACCTTAGTCGTCTTACCTATAGGACCCATAAAGCAATCCAAAAAAGTTTCCTTCTGAACCAAGCAGCAAGGTTTAGATTACAAGAAATGAATCATATTCTATCGAATCTACAATAAATGTTTGGTAAACAACTTTATAAAGTTGTTGAACTGATAATATCATAAGGAGATGCAATAATTCCAAGTGGCAATGCAAAGATGCTACTAAAGGATAACTTGACAGACATATATTTTGCCTCAAACACATGCCTTCAATAACAAGCACTCATAAATATGACATATAGAAAATATATATATATATATATATATATATTAGTAACAGCAAAATTTGGTAGTCACATGTAATCTAAATTACTTATTTTCAATTTACATGAACTTAAAGAATATTCTTTTAACAAGAAATAAAACAAGACATGCAAACATATGAAAATCAATAAATCATGAAGAGGGAGGGATGCCGAGTGCTGAAAACATTGTCAAGCTAGGGATTAGACAAACTTACTCCTCCATCTGCCGATGCATAAACACAACCAAAGGAGTTTTGTCGATGTCTTTAGTTAACCGATAAGCAACCAGTTGGTCATCATCTCTAATCAAAGATAAAGAATCAGCAGGCTCTTCAAGATAACGTATAATCCGGTTGTTGTATATCTGCAATATAAGTTAATGCTTAAAGATTTATTAAACATTTATAAGCATAACAACAATATTAGTAACTAACCAAACAGATGCAGATGTTGTAAACAATGCAATATACCTCTGCCACCAGAAGGGTCTCATCAGCCCCCAAAGAACATGCAACACTTAGAGCCTGAATAAGGTCTTCAAATTTCCCACTCTTCGGGACAGTAATTGTAAATGGATATGGTTGAGAAGTTCCATCAGTACTTATGACAGTTACAGTCATTGTTCGCGATGTCGTTGATGGTAAAGGTAGTGACAGGTACATGAATGGATCAAATGTTATAGAAACCTTTTTGCATTCTGGACAAACTAATGTTGATTTAAATTGACCCTGAAATGAATATAATCATGACCAATTAAGTGGAATAATACACTTGTCAACTAATACAAGAAACACCACCTACTTTTATACTGAAATACGAAGTGCTATTTAAGATAGTAAACAAATTAGATCCAGCTTGCCTGAGGTGTTTCACAATAACAAATTCTGGACTCAATCTAACATGTTAGTCCACTAACTAAACAAAATCAACCATGCTATAAATCAATAACTGAATAATTGATTCAAACGAAAAGCCATGATTCTATCATTCTACAAGAACACATTAAAACACAAATGAAAATTGAATCTTCCAAGATGTGTGCTATCACCATCGACACCACAATGTCCCTCTCCTCCAAAAGAAAAGAAATTCAATGCTATCTACTACTTTTATTAGTCAAATTGTCAACTTAAATCTTGCAAAAAAAATTTTCTCACAATCAAAATCTTTAGGAGTTCAAAAGAATGAAGGTTAAATAACCACCATTGGCATATGACTGATTACCATGTGAACCATATGAGCCAACTAAAACTTTTAATATGAGCACTCAGAACCCAATTAAATCAGAGGAAAAATAGAATTTACCTGGCACACATCAACAATGATGGAATCATTGCGAGCAAGGTGATTTTGCCAATACTCATCAGCTACTTCTTCATCTCGTCGACCCTCACCATCCTTCACTTCAACATAAGGCTTACTTTTCACACGATTGAGATCCTCATGAAGTCCATCCAACAAAAATGCAAGAAGTTCCTAAGATAAAAGACACATCAAATTAATAAAGAAAACATGGAATATGATCACATTACAATCACCCACCTGAGGAAAAACAAAATTCAACTATTGAGAGCAAGAAAATGTTCACTGACTTGAGAATCATGCTGATTGAAGCCACTAAACTGAGGAGCAAAACGAGCAAGCTTTGACTTAAATGTTCTTGGTGCCACAGGGGTTGCTCCAGGGGCCCATAACTTCCTCAATAGATCCCCAAAGGCTGAAGCAATCTCACCCTGAAAAAAAGTGCATGCTTTAAAGGATGCATACAAAACTTCACAGTATTCTGAAAGCAGAGGGAATGAAGTAAATATAATGTACATTCATGCCCAAAGGATTGTCGTGATTTATTTCTCTACTATAATCTCCAAGAAAATAGTCAACCATCTTTGGTGTATGAGCCAAGCACTGAATGGCACTGTTCATGAAACAAGTGTTTCCGAGATTTTGTAATCCAGTCAATCCCAAAGAACCAGCTTCTCCAGATCTTCCACAGAATGTTGAAGCATTAGTACAGATGAAATTGGACTTTGCAGTGCCATTGCAACCATTTATCAAGACTGAAGCACCAGAAGAGCAATTTGCAGTATGTTGTCCTGACATTTCATCTTTTTTCCTTTCTCTACATTTCATGGAATCTGACAACCCATAGACTTGCAACTCCAGGAGAATCTACAGACAGAGAAAAGCAACAAAACATTAATGGCATACATCAAAATTACAACTAATGATTTGTAAGATGAGTAATTTATATGACATTCCAATTAAGACCGACAAGAAAGCAGCAAGAGAGCATTACATTAACATGGAGAGGAAAAATCAATTTGCCCCTTGCTTTAAGATTGGTTCACACTTTGCCACACAATGCTTCCTAATCACAGCTGGCATCATCTTAATATTCATTCCATTATCTTTCCATTAACACAAATTCTTTACTCAAAATTGAAGGACTTCAGTTATATAACATTCCCTCTTGGGGTTACACGTGATAATTTATAATGCCACAAAATTTCGTATTTGTTGGTACTCAAATTTGATGTGAGATAAATTTCTAGAAATTTTAGTATAATGAAGCAATCAAAATAATAATAAGAATAATAATAATAATAATAATAATAATAATAATAATAGTATATGGTAGGAGTAGTGAATACATGACAAATGGCTTAAATTGTACCATAAAAAGGAATGAATCAAATGGAAAATGGGAAGCATAAGAAATAGTGGAGCTAGAACATCCCTTGTATGCATGAAAAACCAAGGAACTCTCCTTAAAGAAACTCAAATGTCAAGATCTTGCCTCAAAACGAAAATTAACCTAGTCTAATCTTAATCAACTAAATAAAGGACTCTTACAATATTCTTTTTTGAATATGTCCCCTATGATGAAAACCAGGTGGTTTAGCTGAACACCGAGTATAAAACATACAATGTAAAGCAATTTTTGAGAATTGGTTCTATTTATAACAATCATATGGGAATTATACTGAAGAATAATATAACGGTTCTCTTCTTGTTTCTGAAGTTCAGGTGTTTGACATTTAAGCTTCAAGAACAAGGTTCAAGGGTCAGTAAGGAATAGAAATCAAAAAATATACTGAGGAATAATTCTAGGTAAAACATGAGGATCAAAGTGTCAAAGATTCTGCATACTTAAGTGGTTATTTTAGGCAAGCACAGCCAATTTTTTAAACATTGAACTTCCTTTTTAGAAGCACAGAGTGCAGACAGGCAAAATAGTAAAAAAGGTGGGTTTTGAAAACCTTAGAATGACATCATGGAGGGAGAATGGACAGAATTAAACAAATGAATCTATGCAAATCAGCATCTCATTTAAAAAAAAAAAGTCCTCTTTACCTCCTGATCTGATTGGCGTTGGCAGTCTTTGAGAAATCTATTTCTCTCATTTACAAAATATAGAGTTGTTTGTCCGGAAAAGTCCCAAATGCGTAACTGTGCAATAGAGAAACTTAGATGGTCATCCCATTTAAACAGTAAATAAAAAATCCTCCTTAATGATATGGAAAACTACCTGCTCAGAGTCTACACTAAAGATTTTGCAGGCTCTTCTGAAAAGTTCCACTGAATTGTCCTGTAAAGAGTGAAACATAATGTAAGCATAGAGAACCAAGGGCATCCGATTATATTCCTATATGTAGAAATCTGATTCTCCTACATTAGTGCAGCTTGATTTCCTAATTTATTTTGGGAATATTTCTCATTTATTCTTTTGATGTAGTCAACTATTCTGATTGTCAAGTTTTTAGAGATTTGTTTCTATTTTAGAATAGAATAATCCTCCTTTCTATTATTTTTTGTTTTTTGTTTCATGTAAGTTTTTTCCTAATAAGGAACTTCATTGTTCCTATTTATTTAGATGTACTCTTTCATTCTAGATAGAATAAGAAGAAATAAGGGCAATCGTTCTTTAAGTTATCTTATGTTATCAAACCAAGTCGGCCTAAACCATCAGACTATAGCCACACGAGTTTCCATTACGACTAGCAAGAGTGAGAACTCTTCTTCTATGGAGGTATGGCATGATGAAAGTCATAAAGAGGTGATGCTCCAACAAACCCTTCAAACCAAGTCTACAACCTTTGGAATTAGTTTACTAGCACAATAAGATAATTTCCTAAACACCTTAAGCATTCAACGGGAAAATACACAATCTTATATTGTTGATTCCGGAGCATCAGATCACATGATTGGAGATGCATCCTTATTCAACACATATAAACCTTACTATGATAGTTTTGCTATAAAAATTACTGATTGCTCTCTCTCAAAAGTGGCAAGAACAAGTTCTATTGTAGTTTCAAAAGACATAACACTTGACTCTGTCCTTCATGTCCCTAATTTAAGCTGTAACCTACTTTCCATCAGTAAGCTTACAAAGGATAGATTTTGTGTCACTATATTTTTTCCCAACTTATGTGAATTTCAGGAATTGGGCTTGAAGAGAATTATTGGTAGTGCTAGGATGTGTGCAGGGCTCTACCTTCTTCAAGATGATGCACTTAAGAGACCACAAAACTCTTGTACAGCCTTAGCCTCTAGAGCCAGTAAGGATGACCTTATCATGTTATGGCATTACAGATTAAGACATCCAAATATTTCATACCTAAAAAGGCTATTTCCCTTATTATTCAATAACATCTCTAAAGATTTTCGGTGTGGAATTTGTCAACTTTCCAAGCACACTCGAAATACCTATCCTAGCCTTTTCTATAAATCATCTCAGCTCAACCTTTCTCAATGATTGACAATGACATTTGGGGACCATCAGGAGTTAACAATATCATAGGTTCTAGGTGGTTTGTTACATTCATTGATGATCATACTCGACTCAATTGGGTATTCCTTATGAAAGAAAAATCCAAGGTTAGCCAAATCTTTCAAAGCTTCAATAGCATGGTACAAACCCAATTCCAAGCCAAAATCCAAGTCCTAAAAACTGACAATGGAAGGGAATACTTCAACTCTATTCTCGGTCCTTACCTCACAAATCATGGCATTATCCATCAAAGCTCTTGTGTTGACACTCCACAGCAAAATGAGGTTGCCGAACGCAAAAACAGACATTTGATAAAAGTGACCAGATCCCTCTCATTGACTTCCAATGTGCCTAAATATTTTTGGGGAGAAGCTGTCCTCACTACAACTTATTTGGTTAACTGAAAGCCTTCTCAAGTTCTTGGCTTTAAAACACCTTGTCAAACTCTCCTTGCTTCCTACCCACAAACTCTTGACTCTTAAAACCCTAAGGTTATGCAAGAAAAAACAAAAAACTAATACTCTACTCAAGGAAGCAAAAACTGCAAGAAGAAGTGGACAACTGTACACAGCCCAGCACTAAAAATCAACCTGATCTGAATCTCCAAGAACCTGAAACTAACACGGTAATGTCCCTATTGAATCTGAAACTGAAACTTGTGAGCCAGCTAGTGACCTTGACATTCCTATTGCATTACGAAAAGGTGTGAGATTATGCACCCCAATACCCTATCTGCAAGTACATCTCATGTGACAGGTTAAATCCAAACTTTCGAGCCTTTACTACTAATCTTGACAATGGGCAAATTCCAAAAATATTCAGGAAGCCCTCAACAAACCAGATTGGAAGGCAGTAGTTCTTCAAGAAATCAAGGAACTAGAGAAGAATGGGACATGAGAAATTTCAGATTTGCCCAAAGGGAAAAACCTGGTTGGATGTAAGTGGATCTTCACAATAAAGCACAATGTAGATAGAAGTATAAACAGGTTCAAAGCTAGACTTATTGCAAAAGGGTTCACTCAATCCTATGGAATAGATTATGAGGACAAATTAGCTCCAGTAGCCAAACTCAATTCAGTTAGAGTTCTATTGTCACTAGCAGCCAACTTGGATTGGCCTCTCCACCAACTTGACATCAAGAATGCATTCTTAAATGGTGAGTTGGAGGAGGATGTCTACATGGAAATTCCTCCTGGTTTCGAAAGGCAATACAACATGGGTAAAGTGTGCAAACTTTGGAAATCTTTGCATGGACTTAAATAATCTCTCGGGCTTGGTTTGAACGGTTGACCAAGGCAATGAAGAGGTATGGATTCCTTAAATGTCAGTCTGACCATACTATGTTTGTTAAGTTCACTAATGTAGGAAAAAGAGTTATTCTTATTGTTTATGTGGATGATATCATAATCACCATAGACCACAAGGAAGAAATAGATGATTTGAAGAAACTCCTTGCGAAAGAGTTTAAAATAAAGACTAGGGGTTCCTTAAATATTTCCTTGGGATGGAAGTGGCTCGGTCTAAGAATGGAATATCAGTATCTCAATGTAAGTATGTACTTGATTTACTCAAAGAAACCAGTATGATTGGATGCAAACCTACCCATGGACTCAGCTAATAAAATTGGAAATAAAAATGGAAGCTCTCTCACGGACAAAGGGCGATACAAATGACTAGTTAGGAAGCTTATATACCTCTCCCACACACGACCTGATATCGGGTTTGCAGTAGGGATGGTGAGTAGATACATGAATAATCCAACCAAGAAGCATCTCAAGGCTGTTCATCACATCCTACAGTACTTAAAGAAGCAAGCTGTTGTAGCTAGGAGCAGTGCTGAGGCTGAGTTTAGAGAGGCTGAGTTTAGAGCAATGTCCCATGGTATTTGTGAAGGAATTTGGCTGATGAGGTTACTTGGAGAATTAAAAGTTCAGATTGTGACATCTATGACACTGTTTTGTGACAATAAGGCTACTATAAGTATTGCCAAAAATCCTGTTTATCATGATAGGACCAACCACATAGAGCTGGACTGACATTTCATAAAGGAAAAGATAGAAAATGGGTCGGTCAAAGTGCCTATAACCCTACAAGTTCACAAATTGCAGATATTCTTACTAAAGCTCTTCCTAGAAGCATTTTTGACATATTGAAATCTAATCTGAGTACGATTAACATTCATAACCTAGCTTGAGGGGGAGTGTAGAAATCTAATTCTCCTACATTAGTGCAGATCTGATTCTCCTATATTAGTGCAATTTGATTTCCTAATTTATTTTGGGAATATTTCTACTTTATTCTTCTGATTTAGTCAACTATTCTTATTGCCAAGTTTTTAGGGATTTGTTTCTATTTTAGAATAGAATAATTCTCCTTCCTTTTATTATTTTTTGTTTTCTGTTTCATGTAAGTTGTTTCCTAATAAGGAACTTCACTGTTCCTATTACTTAGATGTACTCCTTCATTCTAGATAGAATAAGAAGAAATAAAGACAATTGTTTTTTAAGTTTTCTACACTATAATATGGAGGGATAATGATTTAGAAATGTGAAGTCGTGAGAAATTGAACCCCAAAAAGAATTAATGAGAAATGCATCATATGAGAGCAGTAAAGGAGAGAAAATTATAAACTATAGCATGATTATAGTAATACTTTAACTGTAAAAAATCTAAAATCCCAAGATGCAAGCAAAATCTTATAAATAGTGTATTCTATCTATATGGAATCGATTCATCTGTCAATCGTAAAGTTTCATACTAAGTCGTTTCATTACAACACTGGACTCAAAATCAGAAATTACATTTATTCCAGTTAATGGATAGATGATAAAAAATAACATTGGTTCAATGTAATTAATTATTTTTGAAACTATGCCTTTACAACAACCATGTAATAAATATGCTAAGCCCCTTTCCAGAGCAAAAAATGAGCGTACACCTTTCAAATTATGCTGGCATGCTCTATTTCCGTTTTACAATAAACATATTGATTGTTTGCAATATTAATATTAAAAATTAAATACACATGAGAATGTGAGAATGTCTAGACATTCTATTCTGGATTGTTAGACATTATAAAATATATGGCCAGCCTAGTGTGATACATCTTCATAAACCAAAAGTGGAATAATCGGTTACTGAATGAAATTACCTTTTTGCTAATTTTTACTCCCAATGAATTTGTTTCCCGTGGAATAGAAAGTCTTAGCTGCAAAGGATACACATCTGCCATGTCATCTTCAGCAGCCGAAAAGCTTCTTCCACCTTTTGCTGCAACTTTAGCATCAGTGTGCCTATGGAACAGCAAAAGTAGAACTTGAGAGATATTAAACAGCTCTTTTTAGTTTCCAAGGCCATATAGAACTGATTCATAAAACACTAGAACAGAAATCTAGGAATCACATTTTAGAAATTGAAACACTCTATGGTCTTCATTCTAAAACGCATATAATCAAGTGGCAAATACCAGATGAAAAGCAAAGAGAATATGAAAGAATAAGCCATGCAAATATCCTGAAACAAAAGGAACCGAAAAAAAAAAAAGGAAATGATGCATAAAAGCTGATTATAAATTGTCAATTTTTCTAACCACTAATTAAAACTTTCCAGAAGGAAATTGACTGCACATTTATTGCTGATAGATTGAACAGATCACTCTTACAAAAGGAGGTCATGTTCCTCTAAGACTGACAAGTTTAGTTTTGACATAGATGAGGGAGCAATCTTAAGTTCTAAAAGATTGGGGACATGTGCATTATAGTTTTCAGCATGATGCATACATGTTAGCAGGCCCCCTAATTCATGTAGATTGCAGATGATGCAAAGGTTAAGAAAGCAGATCTTGGGTAAATTCGTTTTAAAAGGTCACACATAGTGCCACAAAGTATACAGAAAGCAGGAATTGTACTGAAATATATCAGGGCATGGTGCAAGGATTCCAAGTAGGATAATCTCCAATGTTAAGAATTATCAACCTTGTTGCTCATGGACCTTTTTTTATTCTGTTGTCGCTTCAAGGAGCAATGGAATCACCCCAACCACAGCAAAAAGGAACCAGATAGTTCACTTAATGAGGGACATATAGTTAATACAGAAATTAAGGCTCTTTAAAAGGTAGACTAGGATTAAAAACTTTAATATACTAAAACTATCACTCTTCTCTAATCCAAACAATTGGAGCAAAAACAAACTTCAATTTAATTCACTTGTCTCATACAAATTCTATTATTTCCTCTTCGCTCCTATCAATCCAATTAACATCCATCGCATAAACTCTCAAATGCAATGCAACCCTATTACAAAATCAAGGCATTCAAACAACAATGGGTAAGTAGAATTACCTATACAAACTATTTTAACATCAAAGGCAACCAGTGCCTGATCAGGTTATACTAAAAATCAATCTTAAAAGCACTCACCATTTAAGAGCCTGCAACCACATTTCCCCAGGAACCAACGCATAATCCCGTCCTGAAACACCAACCTCACCGTTTTCACCAGTGTGCAAAGAATCCTCCTCCTTCCTTAAATTAAAAGAAAGATCCGAGTGGAATATGTTGTTGATTAACTTCATGGGACCCGCATACGACGTTCCTGGCGTTGCTGTGTACAAAATCCCCCTCTTCGCATCAGATTCACCTGAAGTTGAATCCTGTGCATCTTTCCACCACCTTCAAAAGAAATGTATAAATACGAATCAACTCTTGACCAATGTAGACATTATCAAATCACTAGAAATCCAAATTTGAAAAAAGAAAAAAAAATAACAGAACAAAACACAAAAATTTTCAAAAATTACATGTCTCACTTTAAAACACAGTTTCTAAAAAACAAAGAAAATGCTTACAAATTTCAACAAAAACAAAATAAAGTATTGAAAAACTATCTTTTTGGTTACAAAGAAAGTTACCCATAACAGAACAGCGGAAAAATCAAATGTTTATTAAGATTCCAAATCACATTACCAAGATTGACTACACCATTAATAACCCAACTCCAAAAGAAAAAAAAAAACTTCTTTTTTTTTTTTGTGTATTGATAAAATTTAAGTTGGGTTATTGTAGATTTGGTGAAATGTTTTGTTGGAAAGGAAATTAACCTGAAGGGGACAAAGTAAACTCGCTGGTCATTGTTGTTGTTGTCTGAGTCGAGTCGGTGAGTGGGATCGGAGGAATCGTCGGTAGGCAGACCCACCATTTTCGGAAGAGAAGAAAGAAAGTGAGAGAGAGCTTAAAAATGAAGAGAGAAAATGGTGGCCATCATTTTTGCTTTTCTCCATAAAATTTTGAGAAAAGAGAGAGAGAAAAAAAAAAAAAAAACCAATGCCGGATTTGGCAAAAACAGAAACAAACAAAACAAATGGAGGTTTTTTATTTTTATTTTTATTTTTTTCTAGTGAAGAGAATTTAAGGACGGAAAATAATATATTTTAATAAATATTATTTATAAAATTTTGGGACCTATTTACCAAACAAGCTACAACTGTCATGGGGAGAAAAGCAATGCTGGTAAATATAATTTTTGTTTAAGTTAAGATAAAAATAGATTTGATAATTTATATTTTTTTTTATTATTTTTTATTAAATATAATAAAACATAAAATTTATTTTATTATATTCGTGTTTATATACTTAATACAAAATATTTTGTTCACTAAACTCAAAATTTATCAAAATTTTAAATTATATTATTTTCATATATTTTTTTATTTTTTATATGTTGTGTGTAAAATTATCAGAAAAAAAATTTTAAGATTTTTTTTTTTATGCTTAAGTTATTTTTCTATAAGAGAAATAATTGCAAGTTCCAATTTGTGTAAAAATTTTATATTATTTTTACCACTTAAATCAATTTTAAATTTCATTAAAAAATAAAACCAAATTTAAATGATTGTTAATTATTTTTTAAATTTGCTAAAGAGTTATTGACATAAGAAACTAAAGATTTTGGAGAATAATTGTTAATATAAAATTAAAGATAAAAGTAATACATTTGAATTCCCATTTTTTATTATAAACAAATTTATGATAAAAAAAATCCATTGTTTCAGATTTTATATTAATGATATACTTTTTTACACTTGATGGTTTAGATTTTTGAGAAATTATAAAATGTGCTAAAAATAAAATTTTTTTAATTTTACAAGTAAAATTATCATGATGATACATCTTGTATATATTTAAAAATAAAAAAAATTAATTTAAAAAATAAATAAAATATAAGTTATTTTGTTAATCTCATGTGAAATTAAAAAATTTTATTAACAGTATATACAATAAATTTTTTTGAATTTTTTAGAAACTTAAAATGAAATTTGCCACTATATGATTATTTAATATTGAATTGTATCATTATATTTTAGTTTTACTAAATTTTGTAATTATACTTTCATTTTCATTAATTTTGAATAAAAGTTTTAAAATTAAAATATTTATAAAATATTCTATTAATAAATATGGGAAATTTCTATCATTCTACTCTCAATTTCGTTAATCTTTTCATAAAATAATAAAATTGAAATATTTCACGAATATTATGTGAATACAATAGTAATTTTTCATTCATTTCGTTATTTTGTATTAAAAATTAATAAAAAATTAAAATTATAGTGATAAATTTTGATGAAAATAAAGTAAATGACAATTTTATATTTAATTCATGGTATGGTAAATTTTGACATTAATTTTTTATTATGCTAATAATATTGAGAGAGAGAGAAATAAAAGTATGTGCTTAGTTTTTAAATTTTTAAAATAAATATATATCCTTATTTATAGAGTGGGAGATAATTATCCTTTTATTGCAAACTTGGAAATCAGTAATTAGATTTGTTCACACAAGTCCTTGCATAATCCACTGAAGCCTTTAATTGTCCAATTGCATGTTGAATACGTACAAACAGCCGAGAGGACTGAAACAAATGAGAGAAAATAATAATGTGAGGGTGGAAGTGAAGCAAAGCAAGTGAGGAGTGGCACATGGCACGTGGGTTGGATGCACGAATCAGCAGCATTTGATAATCAAACCCAGACTAGACTAGATTCAACAGCTTTCAACAACTGTTTAAACCTCGATTTTCAAACCAAAAATGTCCGTTCCTGGTAAGGATTGGCACTCGGCACCCCCTTGGGGGTTGGGACTCGGGACCAATTTTTTAGTAGGTAAGGGTTTTATTGGGTACAAAACTAGATAGTGGGCTAAGAAAAACTCAAGAAAATTGGAAATGGATTAAAAGAAAAACAAGGGTCTCAGGACATTGGAAAGAAACAAAGGGGAAAAAAAAAAAAAGGATATAGCATAAGCTAACCATGCCAGCATACATGGACTAACCATCAGAACTATGCCTGGAGGATGTAGCCAAGGAAAGTTAATCTAAGCAAATTCGGGAGTGAGGTGAACAGAATCATACACACGCCCCGAATATAAATTGAGAATAGTAACTCAAATTTTATAAAAAATTTATTTGATATTGATTTGATATTATTTTATGAATAAAAAATTTTATAAAAAATTTTATAGATAAACTTATATGCTTATAAATAAATAAAATATTTATAAGGTTAAGTATGCAAAAAATATAAAAGTTATAGATTTTATTTGATAGATATTTCATAAGATTATTAAAAATTTACGTTTTATAAATATATATATTTAAAGTTTGTAAATATGAGTAGACTAGAGTAAATTAAAAAAGTTCATATAGATATGATATATTGGTGCATATAAGTAGATATTTGTTTGAATTAAAAATATTACATAGACTAGAGGAAATTAAAAAAATTATACGTATTAATTACGAGAAAATTTGATTTGTTTTGATGTAATTTTTTATAATTAGTAAATTTTTTTTATTCATAGATATAAGTTATTAGGTCCACCATGTTAAATTATTATTTCTTATATTGATTGATTGTTTAGATTCACTTTTGCTTATATGAATGTTCTATTTAATTAAGGATTTTTGCCTACTGAATGAACCATTAGGTTCAAAACCCTAAAAATATAAATTGATCAAATGAGAGCCAACGAAACACCCTATAGCAATAATAAAAATTGATAGAAAATAAATCATAATAGGATATAAAGCAAAAAAATGTTTCTATTTATTTAATGAATAAAAAATTTATAATCCAAAAAATTTTATGTTTTCTTTTTATGCATTTGATATGTTATTAGAAAATAACTTCTTAAACAATTATTTACCTTTCTGTTTAAATATCAATAATATTGTTTTTACTATAGATAAATAATTTATGAAAATACCATTAGTAAAAAATCATAAACATATATGTAATTCTGATTTTCAACCTGAAACCAAATAAATATAAATTAAATCAATTAGTGAAATACACTGATTATATAAAATTTTAAAAGACAATTTTAATGAAGAACTATTAAATTATGGTCCAAAAGTCCCAGATTCTGTAGTTTAAAAATTTTTAATTCAAAGAAAATAATTATAGTAAAACCAATGATCTATACTAAACAAGATATAAATGAATTCGATATAAAAATTAATGAACTTTTACAAAAAAATACTTATAGAACCTACTATTAATCTACATTTAAACCCAACATTTATAGTAAGAAATTAGGCTGAACAACAAATAAGAAAAATCATTATGGTAATCAACTATAAAAAGCTTAATCAAAATTTAATATTTGATGGATATTTTATTCTTAGAAAAAATGAGTTAATAAACTTAGCAAAAAATACTAAATATTTTAGTAAATTTGATTATAAATTAGAATTTTAGCAAATAATGCTAATCAAAGAGTCAAAATCATTGCCAACCTTTAATGCACCAAAAGACTGAAAAGTCATGCCCTTTGGCCTTTGCAATACTCTACAAATTTTTCAAAAATGAATGGACACCATTTTTGAAAAATATAAAGATTTTGTTGTGGTATATATTGATAATATAATTATATCTCCAACCGTACATGAAAATGGTAAAAATTCTATCACAACAAGTAATGAAACCCTATAGATTATCCTAATATTCTCATGATTTAAACCACTAGACTCGTATGTCATATTTTGAAATTTTTCATAAAACAAAAATTTTGTTGAAAATACAACAAAAATTTTCAAAAATAAAAAATTTTATAACTCAAAATTACCCTATGAGTTATATAATCTCATAAATAAAGTTTGAAAAGCCCAACTTCAAGGTAATAAATCAGTTTTTAGAAAAAAACATGACTAAACTTGCGAAAGGATTAACCAAACAGATTAATAAATTTCAAACTTTTCAAAATCTTGTTTTCAATAATTTAACTTTAAGAAATTGGGAGAAACCATAAATTTTTGAATTTGAAAAAAAAAGAATACTCCATTGAAGAGATAACGATCTTTTAAATAGTTGTGATTTTCTCGTAGAAGAAAAAACTATTTCTTCCTTTCTTTTAAAAGTTTAAAAAATTATTTTATATGAAAAGGCTAACAAAATTTTATTCAATGAACTTTTTAATAGAATAAAAAATTCAATAAGAAATGAAATAGATCATTTACTTAATGAAAATTTTTTGAATATTTTCCTTTTGTATATTTAAAAAATATGAAAATTTTAGGAGGATTTCCTAAAACGAAATTTAGATTAGATCATGACCTTTATAATATAGTTAGTATAGAAATGAGTTTTGTAAATATAATTACTTTTCAAATTTTATCTTTTCATTTAATAAGGCATTTTCTTACCTTTATTAAATCAACAATTTTTTATTTTGTTAAAAACGATGAATATTTTTCTTATATGTACATTAAAATAATTAGTTTAATAAAACTCTTTCACAGAAAAAAATTTTTCAACCCTATAAAATCTGTGAAGTAAAAAAAGTATTTTATGGACCAAATTTATTAGCACCTAATGAAAATAAAAAAAATATATAAAATTTGCTCTTTCATAATTTAATAGAATAAGTTTATATAGTTTCTAAACCAGAATCACTATCATAGAAAAAGCAAAGAATTGCTAAATGAAATCTCACAAAATTCATAGACTTCTTCTATCACTACTATAACAGATGGTAAAAAGATTTTTGTGAAAAAATTTTATGATGAAAATAATTCAGAGCCAGAGCCTGAAATGATCAAATTTATAAAAAACTATCTAAAATGAAAGATCTGGATTACTTTATTTCTTTATTAATCCAGTATCAAGAATGATGAAAATAGTGAAATAAGTTAAGAACAGCTTTACTGGCATATTTGAATCTTTAAACAATTTGTAATAAACTCTTTCTTTATTAAATTCAAATCAGAAGACAAGAACAATAGAATAATAATAAGAAGAAAAATAGGAATAAAGTACAATAATAAA